ATGTGAAATTAAAACCGCCAGTAGGTGGCAAGTCACTGTTAATAAGTGAGTCATTGCGACTGAACCAAATCATTTGAACGGTTGATTCATTCAAGAACGAATCACCGTCATGTTGCTCAAAGACGCAAAACAGCGCTGTGAATTATTTTTGTTGGCGAAATAGTGCAAAAACAGGCAATATGGTGTCTAAAACGTAAGTCTCTTAATAAAACATCTAGTTTATTGAACTGTTGTAAAAAAATCAATATTACATTTGTATATGGTAATTTTGGGAGAAAAAAAGGCACTCTTCTGTGTGAAATTGATTAATTATATGAAATGGTATAAATATACACATTTTCTGCCCCCATGTTTCATCATCATTCTGAATGTATTTTAATAGACTGAATCATGCAGTGAAAGAGCGCACTGTAAATGTGCATGCGCACTAGACTTCACGTAATGCGTGCACTCTGTAGGTGTTTTGAATGTTTTTTTTTTTGCGTCGTGAGAATATTAAGTAATGTGACATGTGGCCAAGTATGGTGACCCATACTCAGAATTAGTGCTCTGCATTTATCCCATCCAAAGTGCACACACACAGCAGTGAACACACACACCGTGAACACACACATACCCGGAGCAGTGGGCAGCCACTTTTTGCTGCGGCGCCCAGGGAGCAGTTGGGGGTTCGGTGCCTTGCTCAAGGGCACCTTAGTCGTGGCATTGAAGGTGGAAGAGAGCGCTGTACATTCACTCCCCCCACCTACAATCCCTGCCGGTAAGAGACTCGAACCCACAACCTTGAGTTACGAGTCCGAGTCTCTAACCATTAGGCCACGACTTCGCCGCTATTGAGCAAATAGCCTCAGTGTGTTTCTTCTGAGTTTATGTGTGCTGTTATGCTCATTTGTTATGAAGACTCTCACAAAGAGACAAACAGAGTGAGCCTCAGCGCGACCTTGTATTCTGTATTCTGCTAACTTACTGCAATTCTCTCTGATGATGCAGTAACTTACCGCGGGGAAGAAAAAATCTTCGGTCTGTCCAATGATTGTAAACAGTCATTAGGTCCGTCAGACTTAAGATATTTTAGCGGTAATGTGACCAAAAATATTTAAGACCCATTGAATCCAAATTTAAGACATTTTAAGGCCTTATATTAGGAAAACGTTAAGACTTTTTAAGGACCCGTGGACACCCTGATATTAAGCCTAAAATATTTTTTAATTTCACTATTCATGATGGTCTTTAAATGCAAGATATTTAAAGTGTACCTGAAGTATACTTGCAATAATTCCACTTTAGCACAATCAAATACACTTCACTATATTTT